ACCTTCATTCGGGGGTGCACCTCAATCCGGGGGTGAACCTTCATCCGGGGGTGAACCTTCATCCGGGGGTGAACCTTCATCCGGGGGTGAACCTTCATCCGGGGGTGAACCTTCATCCAGGGGTGAACCTTCATCCAAGGGTGAACCTTCATCCGGGGGTGAACCTTCATCTGGGGGTGAACCTTCATCCGTGGGTGAACCTTCATCCGGGGGTGAACCTTCGTCTGTGGGTGAACCTTCATCCGGGGGTGAACCTTAATCCGGGGGTGAATCTTCATCCGGGGGTGAACCTTCATACGGGGGTGAACCTTCATCCGGGGGTGAACCTTCATCCGGGGGTGAACCTTCATTCGGGGGTGAACCTCCATCCGGCGGTGAACCTCCATCCGGGGGTGAACCTTCATGCGGGGGTGAACCTTCATCCGGGGGTGAACCTTCATCCGGGGGTGAACCTTCATCCGGGGGTGAACCTTCATCCGGGGGTGAACCTTCATCCGAGGGTGAACCTTCATCCGGGGGTGAACCTTCATCCGGGGGTGAACCTTCATCCGGGGGTGAACCTTCATCCGGGGGTGAACCTTCATCCGGGGGTGAACCTTCATCCGGGGGTGAACCTTCATCCGGGGGTGAACCTTCATCTGGGGGTGAACCTTAATCCGGGGGTGTACCTTCATCCGGGGGTTCATCCGGGGGTGAACCTTCATCAAGGGGTGAACCTTCATCCGGGGGTGAACCTTCATCCGGGGGTGAACCTTCATCCGGGGGTGAACCTTCATCCGGGGGTGAACCTTCATCCGGGGGTGAACCTCCATCTGGGAGTGAACCTTCATCCGGGGGTGAACCTTCATCCGGGGGTGAACCTTCATCCGGGGGTGAACCTTCATCCGGGGGTGAACCTTCATCCGGGGGTGAACCTTCATCCGGGGGTGAACCTTCATCCGGGGGTGAACCTTCATCCGGGGGTGAACCTTAATCCGGGGGTGAATCTTCATCCGGGGGTGAACCTTCATCCGGGGGTGAACTTCATCCGGGGGTGAACCTTCATTCGGGGGTGAACCTTCATCCAGGGGTGAACCTTAATCCCGAAGGGAACCTTCATCCGGGGGTGAACCTTCATCCGGGGGTGAACCTTAATCGGGGGGTGTACCTTCATCCGGGGGTTAATCTTCATCAGGGGGTGAACCTTCATCCGAGGGTGAACCTTCATTCAGGGGTGCACCTTAATCCGGGGGTGAACCTTCATCCGGGGGTGAACCTTCATCCGGGGGTGAACCTTCATCCGGGGGTGAACCTTAATCGGGGGGTGTACCTTCATCCGGGGGTTAATCTTCATCAGGGGGTGAACCTTCATCCGAGGGTGAACCTTCATTCGGGGGTGCACCTTCATCCGGGGGTGAACCTTCATCCGGGGGTGAACCTTCATCCGGGGGTGAACCTTCATCCGGGGGTGAACCTTCATCCGGGGGTGAACCTTCATCCGGGGGTGAACCTTCATCCGGGGGTGAACCTTCATCCGGGGGTGAACCTTCATCCGGGGGTGAACCTTCATCCGGGGGTGAACCTTCATCCGGGGGTGAACCTTCATTCGGGGGTGAACGTGAACCTTCATCCGGGGGTGAACGTGAACCTTCATCCGGGGGTGAACCTGAACCTTCATCCGGGGGTGAACCTTCATCCGGGGGTGAACCTTAATCGGGGGGAGTACCTTCATCCGGGGGTTAATCTTCATCAGGGGGTGAACCTTCATCCGAGCGTGAACCTTCATCCGGGGGTGAACCTTCATCCGGGGGTGAACCTTCATCCGGGGGTGAACCTTCATCCGGGGGTGAACCTTCATCCGGGGGTGAACCTTCATCCGGGGGTGAACCTTCATCCGGGGGTGAACCTTAATCCCGAAGGGAACCTTCATCCGGGGGTGAACCTTCATCCGGGGGTGAACCTTTATCCGGGGGTGAACCTTAATCCGGGGGTGTACCTTCATCCGGGGGTGAATCTTCATCCGGGGGTGAACCTTCATCCGGGGGTGAACCTTCATCCGGGGGTGAACCTTCATCCGGGGGTGAACCTTCATCCGGGGGTGAACCTTCATCCGGGGGTGAACCTTCATCCGGGGGTGAACCTTCATCCGGGGGCGAACCTTCATCCGGGGGCGAACCTTCATCCGGGGGCGAACCTTCATCCGGGGGCGGGGGCGAACCTTCATCCGGGGGCGAACCTTCATCCGGGGGCGAACCTTCATCCGGGGGTGAACCTTCATCCGGGGGTGAACCTTCATCCGGGGGTGAACCTTCATCCGGGGGTGAACCTTCATCCGGGGGTGAACCTTCATCCGGGGGTGAACCTTCATCCGGGGGTGAACCTTCATCCGGGGGTGAACCTTCATCCGGGGGTGAACCTTCATCCAAGGGTGAACCTTCATCCGGGGGTGAACCTTCATCCGGGGGTGAACCTTCATCCGGGGGTGAACCTTCATCCGGGGGCGGGGGTGAACCTTCATCCGGGGGTGAACCTTCATCCGGGGGTGAAGCTTCATTCGGGGGTAAACGTGAACCATCCGGGGGTGAACGTGAACCTTCATCCGGGGGTGAACCTGAACCTTCATCCGGGGGTGAACCTTCATCCGGGGGTGAACCTTCATCCGGGGGTGAACCTTCATCCGGGGGTGAACCTTCATCCGGGGGTGAACCTTCATCGAGGGTGAACCTTCATCCGGGGGTGAACCTTCATCCAAGGGTGAACCTTCATCCGGGGGTGAACCTTCATCCGGGGGTGAACCTTCATCCGGGGGTGAACCTTCATCCGGGGGCGGGGGTGAACCTTCATCCGGGGGTGAACCTTCATCCGGGGGTGAAGCTTCATTCGGGGGTGAACGTGAACCTTCATCCGGGGGTGAACGTGAACCTTCATCCGGGGGTGAACCTGAACCTTCATCCGGGGGTGAACCTTCATCCGGGGGTGAACCTTCATCTGGGGGTGAACCTTCATCCGGGGGTGAACCTTCATCCGGGGGTGAACCTTCATCCGGGGGTGAACCTTAATCCCGAAGGGAACCTTCATCCGGGGGTGAACCTTCATCCGGGGGTGAACCTTAATCCGGGGGTGTACCTTCATCCGGGGGTTAATCTTCATCCGGGGGTTAACCTTCATCCGAGAGTGAACCTTCATCCGGGGGTGAACCTTAATCCGGGGGTGAACCTTCATCCGGGGGTGAACCTTCATCCGGGGGTGAACCTTCATCCAGGGGTGAACCTTCATCCGGGGGTGAACCTTAATCCCGAAGGGAACCTTCATCCGGGGGTGAACCTTCATCCGGGGGTGAACCTTCATCCGGGGGTGAACCTTAATCCGGGGGTGTACCTTCATCCGGGGGTGAATCTTCATCCGGGGGTGAACCTTCATCCGGGGGTGAACCTTCATCCGGGGGTGAACCTTCATCCGGGGGTGAACCTTCATCCGGGGGTGAACTTTCATCCGGGGGTGAACCTTCATCCGGGGGTGAACCTTCATCCGGGGGTGAACCTTGATCCGGGGGTGAACCTTCATCCGGGGGTGAACCTTCATCCGGGGGTGAACCTTCATCCGGGGGTGAACCTTCATTCGGGGGTGAACCTTCATCCGTGGGTGAACCTTCATCCGGGGGTGAACCTTTATCCGGGGGTGAACCTTCATCCGGGGGTGAACCTTCATCCGGGGGTGAACCTTCATCCGGGGGTGAACCTTCATCCGGGGGTGAACCTTCATCCGGGGGTGAACCTTCATCCGGGGGCGAACCTTCATCCGGGGGCGAACCTTCATCCGGGGGCGAACCTTCATCCGGGGGCGGGGGCGAACCTTCATCCGGGGGCGAACCTTCATCCGGGGGCGTACCTTCATCCGGGGGTGAACCTTCATCCGGGGGTGAACCTTCATCCGGGGGTGAACCTTCATCCGGGGGTGAACCTTCATCCGGGGGTGAACCTTCATCCGGGGGTGAACCTTCATCCGGGGGTGAACCTTCATCTGGGGGTGAAACTTCATCCGGGGATGAACCTTCATCCGGGCGTGAACCTTCATCCGGGCGTGAACCTTCATCCGGGGGTGAACCTTCATCCGGGGGTGAACCTTCATCCGGGGGTGAACCTTCATCCGGGGGTGAACCTTCATCCGGGGGTGAACCTTCATCCGGGGGTGAACCTTCATCCGGGGGTGAACCTTCATCCGGGGGTGAACCTTCATCCGGGGGTGAACCTTCATCCCGGGGTGAACCTTAATCTGGGGGTGAACCTTAATCGGGGGGTGAACCTTAATCCGGGGGTGAACCTTAATTCGGGGGTGAACCTTAATCCGGGGGTCAACCTTAATCCGGGGGTGAACCTTAATCCGGGGGTGAACCTTAATCCGGGGGTGAACCTTTATCCGGGGGTGAACCTTCATCCGATAAGGGGCGGTTAATAGAGGTAGCAGATGGAGGGCAGAGGTGGGAAACGCAGTCTGATGCCATGCAGGAGAGGAAGCTGCACGGGTGGATGGCATGCAGGCAGAAGGGCGAGGGGATGAGAAAAGGGGCAATGGACAGAAGGAGCAGAAGAAGGGAAGGTGGCGCAGTGCTACGTCTAATGTCATGCAGGCGAAGTGAGGGGAGCGGAGGAAAGGTGGCAAGGAGGGAGGGTTGGAGTGAGGGAGAATGTAGTGAGAGCTCTCCCCCTTGGTGAGAGTTTTAGACGGGCATGTGAGGAGCGAATTGCGCTTGTTGCTTATGTTACTTTCCGTGGCACCATGTGAGCGGTGGTATCCCATCGCACGTTAACCAACTGGTGTTACTGCTAAACGCGTTGATGAAAGAATCCATGTGTTGATTTTTGGGCGTGCTGATGCATGGGTGAACAGTGCCACTCACAGAGGCACCATGTTGGCGAGGGCATGAGCGGGAAGCTCGTTGGCTGTGCTCATCACGCTTCATATCGGGGCACAATATCTGAGCACATTCCTTCTCCTGTGCACTTATCCTTGTGTGCCATCAGCGAAAACATGCCATGCGGGCGTATAAGTGTGTGGAGGGCGTGTATCGTGGCAAGGGCTGGAACTTCATCCTGGACCATTGCAACTTCACACTTGGCAGGTATGGCAGCACAAGCCCCCAGGTGAGGCATGTCTTACAGTATCAGGCTCTGAGTGACACTTGTTGTTTGACACTAAAGCTGGTTACTTGCATGGGTTTGAACCCATTGGCTCGTCTTTCCTCTCTGCTCTCTAATCTATTTCCTACACTCTCCTTCATCACTCTCTTGCATTTCTCCGTTCCTCTCTTCCCCTCTCTCTGTAAAGGCTTTCAGCATACCTCGGCAGTTACAACGGGGCGGTGGTGTATTTCGTCCGCTTGCTGGCGTGCGCCCACCAGTCTGCCGCCATGCAAGGCACCTTCCTCAGGGAGTTCCTCTATGTGGTGCAGGTAGGCACTCAGGGCGGTGTCAGCAGGTGCAGCGAGACACAGGTACATGGTTCAGGAAGATGCAGTGCGGTGCAGTTAAATTGGAGTAGACCCAGTGAGGTAGAGGCAGGTGTGGTGTCGAATATGTTGTTTCAGTGTGGTGCAGTAGATACATGCATTACTAGTCAGGAGTCCACTGTGCCGTCGTTCAATCATGCTCCATTCATCCCTTAACGCATCCTCCCACTCGCTGTGTTTCCACATATTTCCACCGTATCAGGCAGTGCAGTCAAAGGACAAGCAGGGTGCATTGGAGCTGCCTCTCCCACACGTCAACACACACAAGGTTCACGTCCACTTTGAAGACCACCGCATCTTCGCCTCCCCTACCGCTGTAAGCTGAATCCCCACAACGTATACATGCATCCTCTGGTCTGGAGTATCCAACTGTGTTTGATTTGTTTAACACCCCTTTAGCCTGATTCTTTGCCCTTACAGCTGCTCTTGGCCGACCTACCCTGCTGACCATTATGAGCCCCGTCTCCTGTTTGCGACACATCTTAACCAGTGCTTTGCCTATCTTCTCCCGCAACTTTCCCACCCTAGCCCTACACATGGCTCCATGGCCCCTCTAAGCCTACCCTAGCCTCCTCGCGTCCCACATGTATGTTCCCGAATCTCAATCATGGCCACTGATACCGAACCGCCTCCTTGTTGCTCCTTTCACCAGGAGGAGCTCCCGGAGTCATTTTGGTCGGCGCTGGAGGAGGGAGTGGTGCCGCCAGCAGCAGCCATGGTGGTACCCACGTGGCTGGATGCGCCCTCAAAGACACGGGCAGGGGCGCATGACACCATCGCCACCAACACTTGTGTCGCAGGAGGTGTGTGCGCCTCTGTTTCTTCGGCTGTGTATACGCGGGGCTCCCTGCATAGACGTTTTTATCAGGTATCTTCATGACCTGGTACTATTCCTTACGTTTTTTTTTTTTGTCATTGTGCCTTGCTTTCACTCTTCCATCTTCACCTTCCAGAGGACATTGGAGTGGACGTAGAGTTCTGGAATCCTCTTCAGATCGCCCTGCAGATATCTGGCGTGCATCTCCTCTGCCACCACTACGACACCTCCACCACCAGCACCACCAGCACTAGCACTGGCACTGCAGCAGCCAATTCCCCATCCTCCCCAGCCTCTCACTTGGGCGCGTCACCTACAGCAGTGCCATCCGCGTCGCCTTCTGCTGCTGGTGACCTTGCTTCTGATGCTCCCTCCTCTAGCCATAGCCGGCCTACATCACCAAATGCTGTTGCCAAGGATGGATCAGGTGGGCTGCTGGAGCATCTTACAATCTTTTTTTGGTAGACGAGATGCTTCCCTGCACCTCCCATTCTTCCTCCTTCCACGTGTTACCAAGCCAAACTATGGTGACTTGGAGTGTAAAGTCAGCTCAATTCTTGGTAGGTGAATTGGGACATCGCAGCTGACTTTTCTGCTGATTGAACCCGTGCTGTTGTCCTGAAACTGAGTTCTATCTTCTATCCTTATTGCATGCCAAACTCCCACGCTCTCAGGGCTGGTGCGTGCAGCAAGCTCTCCCGTTCTTGATCAAGCAGAGACCTCAGAGTCACTATGGGAGAGCTCTGGGCGTGACGACGGGAGGTGAGGATGTGCAGCGACTCTTTTCCTGTCTCAAGTGCGCCCCACTCGTTTATGCTTGCGTTTTTCTTACTTGCCTCATATGCTTCTGTGTATAACCACCACCTCGTTGTGCAAACTGCGTCCTTCCCTCGCGATCACACCTTCCCGTCCCACCGTCCCCGGCCTCTGATTCCGCTCATCTCCACTCCTGTTGTCCACAGCGCATCTCGAAAGAGTCAATCCCAAAGCGACCTTGCTGCAGACGACCCTTCTCTCTTCCTGCACCCTCTCGCTGATGCCACCACGGCTGGCGAGGGCGAAGGCAAGGGTGGTGAGGATGCTGGGAAACGTGCTGTTGCCAAGGGAACAGAGGGAAGCAATCTGCAGCAGCAGGGTAGTGGAGCTGCTATCCAGTCAACACTAACTGGGGGAGCAGATGGAGGGGGGAGCAAGAAGGCAGGAAAGGTAGAAGCGGGGAAGGAGAAGGGCAAGGAGGGCAAGATACAGAGTGCCAGCGCAGCAGCGGCTACAGCTGCTAGTGGAGTGACAGAGCCATATGTGGCTGAGAAGACTGCTTTTGCCTTGAAGCCGGGTGAACGAATTACAGTAAGTGCCTAACTGTGAGTCAGTGCTCCTCTATCCATACGCAATGCAATACCCTTCTGCCATTTTCTACCCCGTTACTTGTCCAGCTTCTTTTCTCCTCTCTTAACCCTTACCCCTTTCTCCCCAACAGTCTACCTCCCATGTGTTCCACCTCTACCTCAACCTACCCTTACCTCCTACACGCTGATGCCACACCTACCTCCAAACCTCTACACCCTTCCACATCCATCCGCCCCCCCCCCCACCCATTCAACTCCCAGGTGCGTCTGAAGGTGCGGCCATGCCGTGTGGGAGTGCTGCACATATTCGGTGTGGAGTGGGCCATCAGCAGCGAGGGCCGCACAGCCGTCAGCCGCTCGCTCTTCGACATCAAGGCGCCGCCCAAGCGCAAGGGCAAGCCGTCACGGCAACTGCCCACCCACCAGCGCCTGCACTTCCATGTCATTCCGGTGCGATGTGCTGTCTTGTGGATTCATCCCGTAGCATCCCTTACTGTGTGTTATGCGACGCTCTACCATGCCACAGTCTGCAAGAGTGCCTAATTTTCCTGCTTTGCTGTGCTGTTCTTGTGAAGTGCCAGTGCAGGCGTGATTCCTTTGCGCGTCCTACATAAATGGAGCCTGCACTCCTATTCACCCATTCCGTATGCTCGTGCTCACACTCATGCCCATGCCCATGCCTATGCCCATGCGTGTGCCCATGCCCCGCGCATGCAAGCAGGAGATGCCGCGAGTGCAAGCGGAGCTAGAGGGTATGCCAGAGGAGGCAGTGGAGGGGCAGCTTTACCGTTTGCAACTCAAGCTCACCAACACATCACATGTGCCGCTTAAGGTTAGTCTGTCGGTCGGCTCTCATCCATCCACTTCTCTCTTGTTTTTGCATCGACTCAAAAGCAGCTTTACCGCTTGCAACTCAAGCTCACCAACACATCACATGTGTCAGTGAGGCTGTCGGTGAGCGCTCATCCATCTTCCCATTCCCCGATTCGGCCAGCCATTTTCTCAAGATGTAGGGCTGCCCACATTTCTTCCACCATCTGCTTTTGCTCTTCTTACCTTTCCCCCTTTTCCTTGCCCACGACATTCCACCTGCCGACAAATCTCACTAGCTATTTCCCCTCTTTCCCGCTCTCCCCCCTCCTCCTTTTATTGCATCCTATCAGCGCCTGAAGCTGCGCACATCCCACCCAGCCTGCCTGCTCCTGGGCGACCCTGCAGACCTCAATGCCCGCCTGCCTGCATGTCTGGAGCAGCAAATCTTGAATGAGGGGGAAGGCACAGGCAACGATGCGGGTGGGGGCCAGGGGAATCAAAGAACCAGCGGTGGTGGTGGAGGGAGAACGGGGGGTGGAGGAAGGGGAGGAGTGGTGGAGGCAGAGGGAGGGTTGCCTGTGGAGCGCAGTCGGAGCGTGACAGACCCTCAAGGGGATCACGGCAGCATGAAGAATGGCTTCATCTTCTCTTTCCCTTCTGTATGCTCCCGTCTGTTCACTCGTGATGCATAAAAATCCTCTCCGGTATTCCTTTTTCCTCTCCTGAACTCCTCGAGTTTTTGCATATCTTCGGAAACATTCGGAAACACAAATATTGTAGAGGTGTGCAATGTGAGGGGAGGCGATCTAAGGGCAGTCAATGCGAGTGAATGCTAATGAAGTTGGTTCAAGTCTGTGCAAGTTTGTGCAGTGTGTGCGAGTGTGTTTCAGTCTTTCACTGAAGAGCAAGCCCGTATTCTTCCTGCCCCACCCCATCCCTCTCCTCCTCCCCTTGACCCCCCCCCCTGCCCCACCCCATTGCAGCGGTTCATCCTGGAAGGAGGAGCATCGCTGGTGTGGCCCCTCTGGCTGCACCCTCTTGACACCACCTCTCTGGACCTCGGCCTTGTTGTCTTCTTCGAACCTGCCCATGCCGGTGGTGGTACTGGAACTGCCTCTGCTGCTGCCACTTCTGTGGGCAGCATTCTTGGTGGCGTGGGCGCTGGGAGTGGGGCAGAGGGCGGGTCGTTTCCTCCTCCTCTTCCCACACACCACCACTCGCATCAATCCCACGGCCACGGCCATGGCCATGGGCATGGGCATCACTCACACCATCGACCATCGCAGCATCATCCGTCTCACCTCTCCTCGCACGCCCCCATGACCTTCCGCACCTTGCGTCTGCGGCAAACAATCACAGTAATCGATTAACTTTTTTCTTCGTCTCCAGCTGCCTCTCCTCTCTCTGCCCTACCTCTTGCATCTCTTCTTGAAGTTGATCCAGGCCATGTGTGCCCATCCACCCTACCGTTGCATCCCAGTGCATCCTGTTTCATATGTGGTGCATTGACACGTGAGATCACAGCCACATGTGCAGCATGTTGTAACAAGCCCATCCTTCCCTCTATCCCCTCTCTGCTTGTCCCTCCCTTTCCTCGAACCCCAATTCCATCCAGATCCACCCGTCGCTGCACGTGTCACTGCGCATCGCTCCCAGCAACTCGGACATCGCATGCTACCTGCTCCGCATGGACGTGGAGAATCACAACCACAGCCGCACCTTCTGGCTGCGCCAGGTCTCCTGCCCTGGCTCCCACTGGCGCCTCGCTCCCCTGCAACCCGCCCAACCACGACAAGCTTCTCTCTCTTCTTCTGCTGCTGGTTCTGGTTCGTCGAATCTGGACGGCCAGAGCCAGCAGCAACAGGAGGGCGTGGTGGAGGAAGGGGAGCAGCAGATGAGTGGGGCGTTGCTATCTGCAGCACTGGCTGCACCCCAAATCCTGCCTCCTGGCCAAGGCACCTCACTCTTCTTCCACATTCAGGTTCGTCCTAGCCAGATGCATCTTGGTACTACTTGAACATTTTCTCCAAGTGCATTGAACATATCCCTCCATAATGTTTTCAGTGCCTGGAGAGGCTCGCATAGGGAGGGACACAGGCTCGACGGCAACTTGAGGCCTCGCATGCAGGCAGTCATGTCCTCTCATTTGTACCTGCAGCAACCTTTCTCACTCGACTCACAAAAAAACTGTCATTCCTTCTTTCATCGATCGCAGGATTTTGCCTCATCGGCCAAGAACGAGCGCGCGGACAGGGAGAGCTTCAGGAGTGATGCGAGGCTGGGGGGGCAGGCGGAGCCTCTCATTGACGTCCGCAGAGACCCCTTGCACGCCCTGCACCT